CACATTTCTGGTGGCCTCGGCTAATAATGTGTCTTCTGGACCCTCCTGAAGAACATAATCCTTTTGTAGGTTGTCTTACCTCATGTAATATATTCATACTAGCATGCCAACTTTCTACAGCCTCCTTATTTCTTTCTTTACTATCTGTCAGGCAGCTCAGATATTTTAACTTCGCTCAGCTTTGATCATTGCTTTCTTTAGAGGTTTAAGGCCACTCTAGCAGAGCATTTGCCCCATCTCCTGAGGCCCTTGCTAGGATGTTATGTCTGTTGTCCCTAAAGAGTAATGTTGAGTCAATGAATTCTTGCTTACCTAGTCTTACTTTCTATATTCTTTGATCCAGCAGCCTCAAAATCTGTTCGCAGGGGTACTCACATAGCTCTTCCTAATACAACCTAAATAATTCTTGTTGATACTTTTAGATATAATCACTTTTCTCCCTTATCTCCCAGCCAAGTTATGGTGCATCTTGACCCTAGTTATTGGCCTAGCATCCAAAAGAGGAGATTGAGGCAGCTTCTGAGAGGAGCCTCTGCATCCTCCACCACAGGGGAATTGCTAGCTTTTACTAGGAAAGAGTGAGCCACCTCTTCAGACTCCAAGTGCTTAGGGAAATCTTTAGAGCTAGCATCCTCAGAGGCATCCATCCAAGTATTTCCATTCTGTTTTTCAGAATCTCAGGTCTTTCCAACCAGGGTCCAAATTTTATCATAGTAGACCTGCTTTGACTAAGCATTTAAACATCTCTGGAGTTCTTCAAATCTATTAGATTTTTCTGTTGCTTAGCTGTGTTTGATGTTCCATTACCAGAGGTAAGAGCATGTTTGTAAGCTACCAAAGAGATCTCTCACTCTCACATTTATTCTTTAATTCTGTAACCTTTTGCTAACAGCCCTCAATTTCTCATTATCCTTTAGTAGAACATCAGTTTAATTTAGCAGTAACCAGGTAACTCTACTGGCTTTGTGGGCATTATTTGCATCCATATTTCAAATGTCTTAATGATAATTAATGCCTTGCAAGGCATTCCCCACCACCACCAGGACATCTTTCCAGATTACTTCTAGTGAAATCCGTAGTAATTGTAACACCATTGTATACTAGGAACTACCAGTACTCCACATACCACTAAGGATGGCTTCCTCATTGCCCAGAAAGTGGTAAGTGAGCCAATCTTAGAACCCCATTATACCTGTTTCCTTGTGCTAGTTCAGGTCCTTAAAGAAGGAAACATCAAGATGGGATTAGACATTCAAGAGATTTATTTTGGGAGGAATGCTTAAGAGAAGAAATGGGGAGGGAATTAGAGAAAGCCAGGTAAGCTGCCAATCCATAATGCAGCTCTAACTTCTGTGAAGGAAAGAGAGAAAGAAAGATTAGGTTTTTAAAAGTCTTAGGCTACAGTGCGGTCCTAAGTTAGGTAAAGCCCCTGGAGAGTCATTGATCCAAATTCACCTGTGAATGAATCCCACATCTCTCAAGAATTGGCCCACAGTAATATTCCTTCCATACCTTGTCATTGACTAGTTGCAACCATAGAAGAATGGCCTCAGCTTAAATGTAGGAATGGATTTTAGAGTGCAGGAGCTGGGGCAAGTGATCAGTTAGGATTCCTGAGATCTGAGAAGCTCATTGTCATGGCTGCCACATAACACACCATCTGACCCAGCATTCGCACTCCTGGGTATTTACCCAAGAGGAATGAAAGCATATGTGTACACAAAGACCTGCTTTGAATGTTTACAGCAACTTTATTCATCATGGCCCAAACCTGAAATCCAGCAAATCCATTAACATAAACAAACAAATCATGGTACATCCATGTAATAGAAATTACTCAGCAATAAAAAGGAACAAACTACTGATACATTCAACAATATGATCACTTCAGAAGCAATATGCTAAATCAAACAAGCCAGACACAAAAGTCCACATACTATATAATTCTGTTTATACAACATTCTTGAAAAATAGAAAATTATGGTGACAAAAATCAGATCAATGTTTGCCAGTATTTGAGCAAAAGGATAGATTATAAAGGGGCACAAGGGCTCCTTTTGAAATGACAGAAAAATTTTACCTGATTATGTTGATGGTTAGATTCTTGTATATGGTTCTTGAAGCTCATCAAACTGTACACCTCTATATACAGAGAGAGATTTTGCTATATATGAATTATGCTGCAGTAAATCTGACTTTAAAAATACAAAAACCTAAGCAAGCTCAATTATAAACATTTTTAAAAGGAAATAAATTCATTTATGATCCAGATAATGGCATTATCAGATATATAATTTACAATGACTCTGATTAATATAATCAAAGAAGTAAAGAACTTGGGGAATTTTTTTTTTTTTTTTTTTTTTTTTTTGGAGACACAGTCTCACTCTGTCACCCAGGCTGGAGTGCAGTGTTGCCATCTCAGCTCATTGCAACCTCCACCTCCCAGGTTCAAGCGATTCTTCTGCATCAGCCTCCTGAGTAGCTGGGCCCACAGGCACACATCACCATGCCCGGCTAATTTTTGTATTTTTAGTAGAGATAGGATTTTACCATGTTGGCCAGGCTGGTCTTGAACTCCTGACCTCAGGTGATCCACCCGCCTCGGCCTCCCAAAGTGCTGGGATTACAGGTGTCAGCCACCAAGCTCAACTGGACTTGGGGAATTTTTATGGAGAACTGAAAATTATGCTAGAGAAATAGATGGAAATGTAAGTGCTGAAAACATAGTAGGTAAAAGTAAAGTTTCACTGTATTGGTTTAATAGCCAATTAGATACACTGAAGATAGAATTAGTAAGCTGGAGAACAGGTTAGAAGAAAATACCTACTCTGAGACAGGGAGAAGCAAGAAAACGACATATACAGAAAAGAGCATGTGAGACATAGGAACTGGTAGTAAAGTCTATGAAAGGCTGTTGTCTCTCATCTAGTGTTGGGCCTAAAGTTGCAGTCAGAAAGGCCTGCAGGTAAAAAGAAAAGTTGGATGTCAAGTGGAAATACTGAGAACAAACTGGAATTTGCATCTTTCTTCTACCTCCTTCAATCTTAATGACATGACAACCTGCAGGAAAAGATGGTGCCCTACACCATTGAGCTTCAAGGACACCTGGCCTGAGACTTCTAGCAACTAAAAAAAGAAATCTGGTAGGAGCTTAAGAAGTTGTGGAACCAAATGTTTTTCCTTATCACTGAGATGATCCATTGATAAGTGACAACTTGTATAAATTGCAGCGTTCCCTGGGGCTCTACACTGGCCTTCAAAAAATAATAGCTGCTGATTTGGTGAGCCAGAAGGCCAGCAGCACCACGTGTGAACGGAAACACTGCCCAGCATCCTATACTAAACATTAGAGCAAATTAGTTCTTGCTGTACTTCCATCTTCCAAATCTTGTGGACGTTTCTCTTACGGCTAACTCTACCTTAGAACATATAGACAAGGGAATTCTGGGAAACATAGTTCTAATTTAGCTAAGTTAACATAGTACAAAAACACCAAAGATAAAAGGGGGAATAAATGGAGTTAAAGTTTTTAAGGTTTGTATCATGTCCATAAAGTGATAAAACTACTAATTTTGTTAAATTCTAATAAGTCAAGTATGCATGTTATAAACTCTAAGGTAACCACTAAAGAAAGAATAAAAGATTATTTATCAAGCTAATCATTATCAATCTAATAGAGGAGGAAAAAAAGGAAGTAAAAATAGTTATTCTGTGCAAATGAAGATAAGAAAAGAGAAATGAACACAAAATGTAAAAGCCAACAAATAATAAGCTAGTTGATTTAAACCCAAATATATTACTAAATGCATTAAATTAAACTTGAATGAATTTCCAATTAAAAGACAAAGATTGCCAGATTGAATAAATATTAAAATCTGCTACTATGCTGCTTTCAATATACCTAAAATACAGAGCTATAGAAAGATTTAAAATAAAAGATGGAAAAGAATGTATCATGCAAATCATAACCAACATGAAGCTGGCATAGCTACACTAATATTGGACAAAATATGCTTTAAAGCAAGAAGCAATACTAGAGCAAAAGGTGGATATTTTATGATGTAAAGTGTTCGATCTACCATGGAAATAAAACAACAATTCTAAATGTGTATGCACCAAATAAAATTTGCAGAACTAGTAGGTGACAGACAAATCCACAATCGTAGAGACTTTAATTCACCTTTTAGTGGTAGAAAAGTACATACAAATATGCAAAATTAGTAATGATATAGAAAATTTAAACAACAAAATAAACAACTGATACTAATTGACATAAATAATATACCCAATAAGTGCAGAATATGTATTATTTTCAAGTATGCATGGAACATTTAAGAAAGTTGACCATGTCATAAATGAAAAGGCAAATTTCAACCCATTTCAAAGGTCTTAAATCATACAGAGTAGAATCTACAAATTTATTATCTAAATATATCAGAAAGCTAGGAAGCCCTTCATTTGTGGGGCTTGTAGACTGTCTCCTTTCTCGTTAAAAATCAAAGATTTTCTTGAGCCTCTCATCCTAGATGTCATGGTGTCATTAACAGGAATAAGAAAGTTGGGAGAAGAAGAAATTTGATAAAGCATAAAGACGTGATGTGAACATGAGAATGGCCTGATCATATGGAATAGTATAGCAGGGACTTCATGTAGCTCTGGTCATCCAGTAGTTTGAGCCTTCATACCTAGAAACTCAGGCTTTGTGTCCCTCTTCAACCACTGTATCTTCTATTTATTTTCTAGTACTTTGATGTTTAATAGTTTAAATTACCTTATTCATTCAAAAAATATTTGGCAAGTGACCTGTGTGTCTCAAACGTTATTCAGGGTCTTGTAAAAAATATAGAAAAGCTATTCTATACATAAACCATTTCTAAAATATGTTTCACTAATAAAATTTACTTTCTTAGGAATGATTTTAAGCACTAAAGAAATACAAGCTTATAATACTTTTGAAATTTTTAATGAATGAATTTTATTTATATCATTTTATCCAGTTGAATTAAACGAAGAAAAGCACAAAGAGCTAATAGAGAAAAAGGAGATGGAAATTTCAGAGTTAAATGCAAAGCTAAGAAGTCAAGAAAAAGAAAAGCAAAATGAAATAATCAAGCTACAGCTAGAGGTAAGTGTTTGAGTCTGCTAAACTTGAGGACACACCCCTTAGTCTAAACTGTACTTTGATTGTTTTTCATCACAGTGAGATACATTTTAGGATTAGAAGCAATTCTGTGAGAGGGCTTCACACATGCTTATTCTCCATCAAATGATTGCAGTAATCACATACCATACAATTGTCATCTGCATTGCCTTTCAGTACATGACCTGAAAGTGGACCCTTGAGTTGTTCCAAAGGTCCTGGTTTTTAGAGAGGATATTGCTTCCTCTGAGAACTTTTCTTCTCAGTGTTTCCCACTTGACATCCAACTTTTCTTTTTAACTGCAGGCCTTTCTGACTGCAGCAACTTTAGGCCGAACACTAGGTGAGAGACAACAGCCTTTCATAGACTTTACTACCAGTTCCTATATCTCATATGCTCTTTTCTGTATATGTCATTTTCTTGTTTTTCCCTGTCTCAGGGTAGATATTTTCTTGTAACCTATTCTCCAGCTTACTACTTCTATCTTCAGTGTATCTAATTGGCTATTAAACCAATACAGTGAAACTTTATTTTAGCTATTGTATTTTTAGCACTCACATTTCCCTGACAGAAAACTCAAGGATTATCTGCATTTTATGGTAAATTCTATGCGGGTTTCATAATTTCTACCATTCCAGCATGGGAAGAATGTTTGTAGCACTTCACATTATTCTCATCCCAGCAGAAATTTTTCGAACCCCAGCAACCAACTAGAAATTTCTTTTGCTTTATTTCTCATAAAAAGGACAAATTTCTTCCTAATGACTTTCTGGAAGAATATATATCCTTGGGGCAAACAAACCAAATTCCTAAAAAAATTTCTTAAAGGGACTTCAAATAGGGCATCTCAAAGGCTGAGTCTCTAGCTCTTTGCTCAAGAGTCTTGAGTAAGTCGGCTGCGGTGGTTCACACCTTTAATCCCAGCACTTTGGCAGGCCGAGACAGGAGGATCACCTGAGGTCGGGAGTTCAAGACTACCTGGCCAACATGGTGAAAGCCGCCTGTACTAAAAAAATACAAAAAATAGCCAGGCATGATGGCGGACACCTGTAATCCCAGCTACTCAGGAGGCTGAGGCAGGAGAATCACTTGAACCCGGGAGGCAACTTAGCAGTGAGCTGAGATTGCACCACTGCACTCCAACCTGGGCAACAGAACGAAACTCTGTCTCAAAAAACAAAACAAAAACAAAAACAAAAAAACAGTCTTGAGTAGTTCTCTTAACCAGATATCATAATCTCAAATGTACTTTGACAAAATATTTGTCCTTTAAATTTTTTCTAGACTCTATCAATCTACCCTTCCATCATTCTTCCGTTGCTTGCCCCCACCCCAGCTTTCATTTTACCTTGTAAGAATTCACAAGTCTTAATTAAAATCACATACTATTCATATTCCTGAAACTTTGGAATCCCCAGGGTACTTGGTGAGGTACCATGTGTAATCATTGGGCAGAAAGAGGACTGATGTTGACTTTAGATGCCCTTCGTTGCTGCTGCTACCACAGTGTACCACAAAGCACAGGAAAGGCTGAATGGCCAAATGAAAGTAATAGGCCATGTTTCAAGATCTACCACCAACTTCTAATCCTCCTCTGTTTGGAAATTCACATTTTGTTTGCCATTTGGGCCTTATCACTGGTCTATTATTTAACTAGTATACAGAGCTCCTTGTTATTTGTTTTCATTGTACCTAACCATTTCTCTCCTCAAACCAGAGCATAATCTCAGAGTTTATTCTTAGTCCTCAGAGAGGCTATGTTAACTAAATCTGAAGAGAAGAGTTATACAATGGAATATTGTGCAAAAACAAAAAATCTGACCTGTAAGAATGGCCTATGAGAACTTTTTAAATCTGATTCAGTTTAATTCAAACCAGCAAGGGTTCAAACTATATCGACAAGATCGTATTCAAATTCTACTGGTTAGCCTCAAAGTTCCTGCAGAAAGCTATGTGAGGTTTTCTCCCATGACTGTTTATTACATTTTCTTCATAATGCACTCATTTTAATGTAAAAATATTTTTACCTATCTTTAAGTTAAACTAGATTCTAAACCCTGACTGCACTGTAGAATCACATGATGTTTTGAGAAAAAAATGATGCTAGCTGCACACCAGAATCTCTAAAGTAGTGCCCAGGCATTTGGTACTTTTAAAAAAAGAAAAGAAAAAAAAACCTCTCCAGGTAATTTTACCATTCAATAATCTTGTTTTTCTGTTCTTCGCTCTTTCTGAAAAATTATTTCTTAAAGAAAGATTTTTCTATTGTCTATTGTTGTAATTTACACCTAAATTACAGATTACATGTCAAAGGATATCATGGACTATAATTATAGAAACAATTGTTTCTAATTGTCTAGAGTTTCAATAACTTTTTCAATTTGATTCAGTTTGATGCCAAACTAGCAAGAGTTCAGACTAAATCAAAATCATATCCGGATTCTACTGCTTTGCCACAAAGTATCTACAGAAGGGTATGTGAGTTTTCCTCTCATTATTCGTTGCTTAAGAAAACTTTCTAAGCATGTTTCTATAAAAATCATCTAATTCTTATTAACAATGTAAGGTATTTTTTAAAATACCAATTTATAGCAGAAGTGTATTTCTTTATTGTTATTTTGTTGTTCCTTGTACTAAATTTTATTATTTCTGAATTGTAATAACAAATTTTTTGTTTTGTTTAGAAACTGCAACATTTTCAAGAAGAAAAAAACAAGGAGATTGCAATTCTTCGTAATACCATTCGCGATTTAGAGCAACGCCTTTCTGTCGGCAAAGATTCTCACCTTAAGCGTAGACGGTTTTGAGCTTAGCAGTAAATTCATTAGTTGGTATTTATTTAAAAGCAATAGAAAGTTTCAATATACACATACAGCCTACACAACAAAAAAGTCAGCTTTAAGGGTTTTATTGAATTTATTTGGACAAATCCATACTGTATCCAATTGTGTACTGCATTCTTGCTTAATAGTATTAACCGTAAAGGAGGTCAGGTTTACAGGGTTTGGTTTACCTATTAAACCATCATTGACTATGGAAATACTTACTAAGCAATATAGAGACAGACAATATTCTTTATCTTTCCCCTTATATCTTTTAAGACAGCCACGCAAGTTTTAGAAGAGTGTGATACAACATTAGAGAAAGAAAGATACAAAGGCTTTATTCATGTGTGATAGTAAAAATAAGGATATAAGTCTTAGATATACAGAAGATAAATGGATATTTAAAATATAGTTATATATGCTTTTATAGCAAAATACTCATGTGTTAAGTATTTCTGGATCTTAAAATACAAAATCCACTTATTAGTTAAAAGTGTAAGATTGAAAAGACAAGGATAATATTGTTTTGAGAGATAAGTAAAGAAAAAAATGGAAAGCATGTCTTTGTTGTTCTTCCTCCATTCTAAATTGCTAACTATCCAACAGAAACCCCTAGGTCATAGTTTACGTTTCTATTCTCATTAAAGCAAATAGAACACTGGAAAAAGAAAAAAAAAGACATATTAACCAAAAGCTGCAATCACCTTTCAGTTGCCCCATCATAAAAAATATGGCTTGAGTCAATATTTCTATGACATAAAATTTAAAATCTGGAAGCCAATCCAGTAGATTTCTTCATGTTTGCACAAATCTAATTTCGATTTCTGGTTTACTAATTTGGTAGTTTATAAAAGTGCTGGAAATGAAATTGTGTCTAGACTGATTTGGGGAGTATGTCCTATTTCAAATATTTAGTTTGAAGATCATTCTCACTTTTTTGCCTTACTCTTTCAGCGTCAATTGGTACTGACTTCTGTGGGTATAAGCTGCTGACTTATTTGTCAGGCAGCTGGAGGCAAACGTCACTGACAAGATTCAGTTATGTTCTCTTCTGCCAAAAGTCCCTGTCAGCTACATAAAGATGGGAGGTTTTCTTTACACTGTCAGGTGATTGCAGACCCTGTTTTTTCAAATATCAGATGTCGACAGTGGCAGCATCAGCTCCTAGGAGCCAGCTCTGAATCTTTGGGCAATTTACAGAGTAATTGATTTATACATCTCTTTCGTCAGAGCTTCTTTTGTAGATGTTGTAAACCTTCACTTCCTGGCATATCTCAGCTCTCTGGGTGACCCTGCCTATGTTGACCCTTGTGCTTATGGTGGTGATGAAGGTCTGGAGGAGCAGGATGAGTAGGAGCATCTGGTGCTCCTGGTTGCTGATTCTCTGAAAGCTTACTGCTGCCAAGGTGCTGATGTCCCTGATTGTGATGATGCTCATGATGGTAATGGGGCTGTGGAGCTTCAACTGCTTCATCCACAGTAGCCAAAGATACACTTTTACAAAAGTCTTCATCTTTGAGAGTCTGGAACAAATTTATAAATCACTTATTAACAAGTTTATAGATATAGGAATAATGCATGAAAAATGATTTGTAGAGCTAACATATGTGAAATTCTAACTAGTTAATTAGAATCGAGCTCGTTTTGTATTATATTAATGAGAAAGAGTCTGATGTTAGTCTCAACACCTAGACATTTTATTAAAGGCTTAAAAAGAAAGCCAAACCACTGTACTTATATTTGCAGAAGCAAATGAAGTAAACTGGCAAAAGGAACTTAGATTGCAGGAAAATCAATTTAATATCAAATCCTAAATTTAGTTGACCTGGGCCGAGCATGGTGGCTCATGCCTGTAATCCCAGCACTTTGGGAGGCCAAGGCGGGCAGATTGCTTGGGCTCAGGAGTCGGAGACCAGCCTGGGCAACATGGTGAGACCGCGTCTCTGCAAAATATACAAAAATTAGCTGGGTGTGGAAGCACATGCCTGTAGTCCCAGCTACTTGGGAGGCTGAGGTGGGAGGATTGTTTGAGCCCACAAGGTGGAGGTTGCAGTGAGCTCAGATGGTGCCACTGCACTCCAGCCTGGGTGACAGAGTCAGACCCTATCTCAAAAAAACAAAAAAAATAAGAAAATCAGTTGAACTCTATGGAAACTTCTGTACCTGTGTCAACAGTGCATCTCAGCTAATACTATATGATACTGTAATCTAATATTAATTTATCTCTGATAATTCAAAAATGCTAATAAACTCTGCTCAAATGTGTTAGTTTTTCATACTTCATCCTATGCCAGGAAGCGTTCTGAACTTCACCAAAGCTTTGCTAATGTCTCCCTACCATAAGGCTGTCAGCTGAAAATAGCAAATTACTGCCTGACTCCCACTGACCATAATATCCATTCTGCATGATCCTAGTTCTTTAATTTACTGGAAGTCTTTATTGTTTTGTGGTACCTACCAATCAGAGAATCAAAACGTATAGATACAGAAATGTAACATTAAATCTCAATCTAAGACTAATTTGTAAATAAAATTGCAAAATCAACTTAGAAACCCAAAGACTTACTAAGTGATATGCTTTTGATGTTTTGAAGGTTTTAAAAGTTTATAAATTTAATTAAATTTTAGCATACAACTACTAAGTGGTACTTTATTTGGTTATTTCTGAATTACTTCTACATTAGAAGCTAATAGTGTTTGCTTCCAAAGTTATAAACAATTTGATATATGTTTAAAATATACTGTATAATGTTCAAAGTGTTCAAGGTTTAAACAAACACAAATACCCATGGTAGTAGTCTAATTTCTTTCATTTATTTGCTTATTTATTTAGAGACAGATTCTGGCTCTTTCGCCAGGCTAGAGTGCAGTGGCACTACCTCGGCTCACTGCAACCTCCGCCTCCCAGGTTCAAGTGATTCTCCTGCCTCAGCCTCCCAAGCAGCTGGGATTACAGATATGTGCCGCCAGGCCCAGCTAATTTTTGTATTTTTAGAAGAGATGGTGTTTCACCATGTTGGCCAGGATGGTCTCGATCTCTTGATCTCGTGATTTGTCCACCTTGGCCTCCCAAAGTGCTGGGATTACAGGCGTGGGCCACCACACCCTGCCAGTAGTCTAATTTCAGAAACGAATTACTATATTTTACTGATTCTGTGATGCTTATTTATTTAGATTTTAATATCTCTAAAATTAGAATGTACCACATTGTTGGTGGTGTTTTCTCACTGTATCCTACTTTAATTAAATTAGCAGCATTTTTTTTCCTAAATAGTACATAAGATAATATATCATATAATCAGTGGTATCTAGGAGACAATGAAATAGAAAAACTCCAATTTGATTTGGCATATCAGATAATAATAGTGTCTCATCTGTAATTCATATTTACAGATGATCCACACATTTTAAGCATCTTTTGGTAACTTGTACTGACTTTTTCAATATAACTGGGCATATTTATAACTATCAAGCATTTGCACAAATGAGAAATACAGAAATAATCCCAAAACATGAGGAATCATTATAGTTAGTATTTAATAAAAGCTTAGTACAGGTTGAGTTAGTACTTTTCTGTCATTACTCTTAGTATTTTCTTCCATTACCTCAGTCTCCTCATCTTTAAAAGTAGTAAAATAACCCTCAAAAGATCATTATAAAGGTTAAAATGTGAAAATTACATAACTAGAGTAAGTAACTTGTTGTACTCCTTAACAACTAAATTAATTAATTAATTAAATTTGTTAAAAATTTGAGGCAGCTTTCTTTAGAGCTAGGGAAAATCTGAAGGAAATACAACCCACAAATAAAATTGAGAATTGTTTTTAAACTTAAGTTCAAATTTTCCCAATCTGACCTATCAATGGAACATTGTTTAGAATTATTTTCCTTTTTGTTATGAAGAAAAACAAGTCTAGTTAATACAAATTAAATTCTTTGAGTGCCTTTTCTATTTAAAAAAGATTTAAATATAGTTCTCATAACAAGGAAGAAATATTTTCATGGTTGTTAGGAAATAAATATCAGTAATGAGTAGAAAACTTATTCCATTCTGAAGGAAACTCAAACTGCAGATGGGCAGACAGTGGAAGGGCTTCAGGAAAAATGTGATAGTCTTGCATCTTCAATAAATTAAGTAGTTTCTGGCCCCAGTTCCATTCCAAGTAATGCTGTGGGTAAGCTTTGCTACTGCTACGTTCTTGTGCTAACAAGTTCAGGATACTACAATAATGTTGCTTTTTTGTGTTGACTAAATTCTTTGAGCGCTTATGCTCATGCAACATCATTTGGTGGTAACTGAAATACAATACATTGACTTTTAATTTCTAAAGCCCTTCTAGATAAAGGCATCAACATCGATCTTCAAAAGATGTTTTAAAGTACAGGTTAGGCCGGGCGCAGTGGCTCACGCCTGTAATCCCAGCACTTTGGGAGGCCCAGGCGGGTGTATCACAAGGTCTGGAGATCAAGACCATCCTGGCTAACAGGGTGAAACCCCGTCTCTACTAAAAATACAAAAAATTAGCCGAGTATAGTGGCAGACACCTGTAGTCCCAGCTACTCGGGAGGCTGAGGCAGGAGAGTTGGCGTGAACCCAGGAGGCGGAGCTTGCAGTGAGCCGAGATCACGCCACTGCACTCCAGCCTGGAAGACAGAGCGAGACTCCCTCTCAAAAATAATAATAATAATAAATAAATAAAGTAAAGGTTAGATGACAGGATATGTGTTTAATTATTAAAATTATTGTTATTTATTTTAGTATGCCTGCAAAAGCATTGAGTTATCTAAATAAGTTAGTGTTTCATGATAATCTCTTAAAAGATTTCCTCTTTTCTCCCCAGAAAAATAATTCAGAAAAATACCGTGAGAGAGCAGTTTCCACATTTCTTTTCACAGTAAACAATCTTAATGGCTTCTTCTACGTATGAGAAAGTTAGGAAGGAAAAAGGCAAACCAAGATGATATACAAGACGGCCACATCTAAGAAAAAGGACAAATACAATGTCATTATAATATTTTCTGTATCACAATCTTACTCAAATACAGTCTGGGATAGGTGTTATAGGTTTAATGGTTATAACTAAGACCCTCTCACGCCTTTACTAAATTTCTTTGGGTGAGAGCTACAAATGAGCTCTCAGGCACTGCACACCAGGTCAGGTTGTAGCAACACTACATGCTAGTATTTTGAAGTTATAGATATGTCACTATATAATATCAAAAATGTCATCATTGTGACTTGGTCAAATACATTTTTGTGATTAACTTACAAATTCTACCAGTGCCCAAACCACTAACTTATAAATTAGGCTCTGAAAATCACTTGAGCTTGTCATAACTGCTAAGGCAGCACAAATTTGACACAACAAGAAATCATCACATAACAAAAAGATCTCCAAGCCTTGGCCAGTAGCCCATTTATTTAAAAATGTGTCTAATGCAATGAAAATTTCAGCACAATGAAAGTATTAGAACATGTGGCATTGTCAGAAATGGTGGGGTTAAAATGTTCTTCTTGCCCACATTTTACCTAGTATATATGGTTTTATGTGACTATCAAAAGATTATACTTTTAGGTTATCCTGAAAATTAGAAGTTTAAAGGCCTAAAAGAATGAAATGTGAATTTTTTAAAATTTAGTATGAGACCAAGTAGGGCTCACCAGACTCCGGAGAGT